GTATAATTTAAGGTTATTGCCAGGTGGGTTTGGCTAAGTACGTCTCCAGTTGGGTAGTGGGTGTGGGGATGAATTTGAGAATGTACCCGCAGTGTGGACTTGAAAAATTTTACCGATCATGGGTGGTGGATTTAAAAATATTTGGTAGTTATGGGGATGGGGGAGAGGGTATCTACACCCTCCCCACCCGTTTGTCATACCTAAATAAGACACTAAATTCTTCAAGCAAAGTTAGATGTTTGAATCCCGGCGTGTGCAACTGGAACAAACTGGATTAGGAGGGTCGCTCTCATATCGACAATATCCAATCTAAATTAATCAATTAATAAATAAGATATAAGTGATCATACAATAAAGAAACCTGATTTATGGCTCAGTGGCCTACTATTGCTTGTTAATTATCAAATCATACAATGTTTAAGATCATCAAAAACGGAAACGTAATCACCGCAAATTGAGATAGAAACTACTGTTAATAACATATGATGCACCAGATTTTAATTCGTATTAATTATTTGCACCAACACTCTTATTGATTGCACCGATATCACTCGTACAAATATTAGTTGCACTACAGTATAGACTCCTAGACAAAAACTAATGTTATCTGTACCTACAGTATACACAACACCATTTTATGCTAGGCTGTAATGGTGAGCTATAAAATGATAGTATGTTTTACCTAAAATAATTTATATTTTGATATAATGTTTAATTTTAAATTAAAAATATTATATTATACATTGTGTCTATGTAATCATAATTTTTTTTTTCAACAATAATATAATAAAAATAATGAAATGAATCATAATTACAATATACTCGATCATAGAAAAAAGGACTATAATCATTAGAAAATCCATACAAAAATAAAAAATATTAAACTCAAATATAGAAAAACAAAACAAAACATTTCCTTAAAAATGGCGACTAACATCAAAATAACTTATCAATGACTATTTCGCTGTAGAACGAGACGTTTTACGAAGTGATAAATGAATGATGAGTGAACAAAACTATATGACAGACTATTTCACTACACAATTATGATTATATAAGCAAACAAACTTTTACTAAAGAGATGACTTAACTATTCATGAAAACTGACAAACCCATCAGAAAATAAATGTCGTGAGGTTTTGTGCGAGCACTAAAATGACCGCAAATGTATGCAAAAAACGTACCAAAAATCATAAGAATCGTGCCACAAGAGCAAAAAAAAAATGTTACAAAGACAAATTCTTATTCAAAATTGAAAAAAGAGGAAAAAGGAAAACAAATGATATGATACGAAAAAAAATAAGAGAACTAATAATCGCCGACAGTCGACAAACAATATTAAGATCAATGTCGTTGGCGGCTAAACAAAAATAATAAGGTAAACTATAAGATTGGTCACTTATGTTATAATTTTATTCATTTTTTATCACCATTTTTTTAAAAGTTACATTTTGATCACTTATATTATTTATCTATTATACTTTAATCACTAAAGCGTTAACTTCTACTACCTTAATAACTTGAAACGTTAAAAAATAGTTAATTTTTAATTTAATTCTTAAGACTTTTGAAAGTTCATTTTAACCCTATTCTTTAAAAAAAATAAGAGCTCTCCCATCGCTCTAAAAACAGTCCATTGAATAAGCTCTAACCCTAGAGTGCTCCTACATGGCTACAACAATTAGATTGTCTACGTGGATTAATTTATTCTAGGATAAAGTACACAAATTATCTCCCAATTATAAGGTGTTGTTTGATTGAGTCATTGACTATTAAAAGTTACAAAGTGATCCCTGACTATAAGACATTACTTTTTTTAGTCCCTGAATATTAAAAGTTATAAAATGATTATTTGACTATTGATATGTTCTAAACTCATAATTTTCCATTAAAAATTTGACGACAGTCTAAGTTAGACATTAACCTGCTAATTGAAATATGATAAAATTTGATCTCAAAAACTCAAATGATTATATAACTCAAATGGTTCTAGAATCATATTTTATCATATTTTAGTCAGCAAATTAATGTCCAGCTCAGACGACTATCAAATTTTTAAAGAAAAAAGACGAGTTTGAAAAATATGAATAGTCAGATGACCATTTATAACTTTTAATAGTCGAGGGACTCAACAAAACAATGTCCTATAGTTAAAGGATCATTTTATAACTTTTGATAGTCAGAGGACTCAACAAAGAAACACCATATAATTGCGGGACCATTTGTGTACTTTATCCTTTCTTCTATTAAAGAACAACTTTCACTAGTTACTGCAAGGCAGCATCCGGAATATAGTAAACCATAGCTTTAAGTTTTACATGAATGCATACACCCATAATCATCCACCCAGAGCAAGTTTGTGCTGAAGCAGTTCTTTCTCAAGCTCCCATCAGGGATTTAAATATCGGTTGTGATCGTGGCCGCGTTGCATTTATCGCAAATACGGACATAGCGGGTATTATTGTGATCATTGCGGTATCGTGTTCATGCAATAACGATTTTGGATGACACCGTTACCGTTACATAACGGCCACTATTTCAATAACGAAACCGCTATTTAAATCCTTTTTCCCAGTGAACGAAGCCTCTTTTAGATCTTCACCTTCTAATGGGGCATATACTATTTTACCTACTGATGCTAAGCAGACATCTCAAAACCAACAATCTCCCAGCCACGTGAGCAAATTGACATTGTTGACAAGTAGTGAAATTGAGCCATCAACGAACAATGGTACTGCTGCTGCTGCTCCAGTTCGTGAGATTAAAGCAGAAGACATTTTCTCGATCATCTGGTGTCTTGGAAAGAACTCGATCGAGCTCCCATTGCCTCTGCAGACCGTGCAACAGCAGCTGCAGGTGCAGCTGTTGAGCTGGTGAATGTGAAAATTGGTTCACGAAAACTAGAAGGAGCTTCATGATAATGCGTGGATGACTGGTGCTGGTTGTTCAATCTCATATGCTTGTGAATTTCTCGAGCAGCGTGTACTACTAAAAACATAAGGCAAGGGGATTGTGTAACTTAGGCAGAATTTCCAATATAAAGGTAACTCGCTATATGTAAATGTTGCAATATGCTATACTTACTATGTTCCTCGATGGTCTCAAAGGCAAGATGGCTGACGAGAAACCGGATTATATGCGGTAGTAATATCATCAAGAAAGAAAAAATAATTCAATGATTTTAACATATGAGAAAACTTTATGGACAATTGTACGAAAAAGATACGAGTTGTTGAACTTTATTTGATTTACATTTTCTTTTAATTATTGTTTTAATAGCTGTAATAGTCTTATGTCAGTTTAATTATAAGATCATGACACTGTAATTCAATATTTTTTGCTCTGCTAATGCTAGTCATGTGACAGTATCTTTAGAGTTGCTAGTAAACATAAGCTTGAACCAAGATAAGGTTGTAGGTTAAACTTGCTCAAGGCATACATTAGATATTATCTTTAAATATATTTCGTGAAACACCTATACTTAAAGGAATTAACAAACAATTTTATTTTATTTTTGGAATCATAAGAAGAAGAGCCTAATCAAGAGGCTGTAAAATCATTGGAAGAAAATAATAGATATTCAAATATTATTTTATACTCAACTTTTGATAGTAGAAAGAATGAGAGAGAGAGAAAATCCTTAATAATTAATAGATTTGATATTTATATGAGTACCGATTAAAAATAAGTGAAAGATGTTGAGAAAATAAAGGTTAGTAGATTTTTTTATTTAATTAAAAATATTCCATGGGAGTTTTTGGGAATATGAAAAACCTAAAAATAATTATTATTTTTGAATAATTTATGAACATAATCATCCACAAATACATTAATAATGTACACACTCATAAATATAATATAACTATTAAGTCCATTTGATGAGTTTTAAAAATAATTAAATTTAAAAGTTATCGAATATATCATTTATTTATTTATTTATTTAAACTCAAAAAAGTTTAGTATTATCACGCATAGAAAAATATATAGGTTTATAGTATACGAGCTTTTTAAGCCTAATTTTTATGAGTACGAGTCCAACATATCAACTTAAATTTTACAAATTTAATAATGATTTATAAACAAAAAAAATCTTTTAAAGAAACTTTAAATTTAATTCTTTAAAAGTATTTTAATATTTATAACATAAAGATTATTCAAAAACTTGACGAAACAAATCAAAGATGGAAAGAACTCAAGATGTCATCACTGGAGAACAATGATCAAGAGAAAAATATTTATTTTTTGAACATAAAGGATTGATCAGCTTTTTCTTGAAAATACGGTAAGTTTTACAGTGCGACACCATAATATAAAGTTAAAATAAAGTGTTATCGGTTTTGTTATTATTTAAATAACAAAACCGGTAAAAAAAAGTACATAAAACATTATTATTTTTATTTTAAATATCAATTTTTTAATATTTCCGGTAAAAATATCTAACAATAACAAAATCGATAGCATTTTACCAAATATGATAAAACGCTCAATAATAATAAAACCGGTAAAAATGATAATGTCTTCGATTATTTTTTATCAATTTTATTATTTAAATAATAATAAAATCAATAACATCTATTTTTAATCGTATATTAAAACTATTGTAGGTGAGATTTTTCGATGCAAATACTATAAAGATGTTTGAAGAGATCCCCTGCAACTTCATAAATGGGAGGAATTATTAAGACTTGAAGCATTGACTGGAAGGAGTTACAGCCCCTTTGATCTTGGTATTTAAACTCAGCTTAAATGTCAATTCTTTATTTCCATTCAAAAGATTGAAAATGAAATTTTACTGGGAAGGCGTGCCGTCGTTTACCATATTCTATATGTAATTGATTTAAACATTGCATCTCTGTCATGGTGCGTTAAAAAAATAGCAGAAATACACTGTACAAATAATTATATGATATTTCGATGTCAGTGTCCAGTAGAGTAATTAAGTGGCCCCTTTTTATATAATTTTATATTTTGTTTGTTTGTAATTTGCATCATCTCTACTTCCCACGATTTCCATTATTGGTGCTTCAATCTTCAAGATTCCCATTCACCTACCCACTTCACTCCCTTTGCTACTCTCTTTCAAATTTCAATCAATTGAAGCTTTTGGTTTCTTTCAAAAATGTTGGGAACTTCGATAAATCCGATCAAATCATCTTCTCCTTCTTCTTTAACCTCTGCTTCTTTTGAAAAGAGAATGTCGGTCATGCCGCCTTCGTCGGCGACGATTTGCTTAGATGAATCGAGGTCTACTCGTCGGTTCCGTTTACCGCTGAATAGATTGCAGTGCTCCGGCACTTTGGGTACCATGCACCTCTCCGGCGTCAAGTTCAGTGTCTCCAGAGGATCGAAATTTCGCGTTTTCTGTGAATCGAAGGTGATTTTCACTTACCCTCTTTTAGTCCCCCCTCCCCCCGAAGTTCTCTTTACTTTACTTTTACGGGATCATAGTAGATCAGTGATGAGTTGGTTTATGGAAGTGTTGTTTGGTTTACCGGCCTTCGAACCCTGTTGGGATCATGCCTGCCAAACACCACTACCCAACCAACAAAAAGTCAATGGGAATGCCGGCAAAATGGAATTTTTGCCAGTGCTCTTTAATGTTCTTCTCCTGCAAGTTGGCCTTATATTGACTGATGTGGATTCATATACACTGGTATAGGTCAATATTAGTTGAAATTGACAAACATAACACACTAAAATCTTGTAAGAAATGAGCCCATCGAGTAAATTCGAGCAACTGCCTGTAAGATATGCGTTGTCAATGTTTATCGATAATAAACTATATAAATTTTAAACAGATACGTCAAATTAATACCGATACGATGCCTAAAGCATGGCTTTTTCTCATACCTTATATACAATATTTCATTTCAGGTTTGCCTTCACTTCTTATATGTCATTTGGCATGGCATTCAAATGACAATTATGATTTTTATTAAGAATAGATATATTATATCATAGGTAGATGTCGGGATTCGAACCCACAGAGGACTAGATAATTTAAGTATGTCTGACCACTTAGTTCATTAATGAATCCCCAAACAATAATTATTATGATGACGTGGATTAATGAATCTCCAACCAATAATTACTATGATAACGTGGATGTAACTTGCAAACAAAATTTGGATTTGGATGAAATATATGAATTCGGTTTATTTATTTATTGGATATGGTTTTTGACCGTTTGAATCATGGTCAGAAAAATTGGGTAGAGTTTTAAATTGATTTAATCTTGGATTCTCAATTCAATTAAATGATTGAAGTACTTTTTAAATTGGATTTTGAGTACTTTTGGAAATGGTGTTAATGTTAAATTTGTATTAAATATGGTAAATGATTAGTAAAAACATCTGTTTAAATTTTGTTTGGAAGTTTTTTTAATGTACTTGCCTCTAATATTTTTTTTATTAAAAAATTGAATAACAAAATAATGGTATGATAGTAATTTTACTCAGACTTGAAAATAAAGGAGAAAAACTGTAAAACATAAAAAATCAAACATTAGAAACACCAAATTAAATCCAAGAAAGGAGTAAAAATCTTTTTTACCCATTCTTCAAATTTTCAAAATATATCTATATTAGTATTATTTAAAACCTTGACTAGTTGTATAGTTATATAGTCATCGGTTAATTGGTATCAACTTAGCCTTGAAATATAATTGAGCCTTAATTTTTAATTAGTTTAGTCTTGTTATGAAGGGGTTTTTTAACGAGGTCTTCCATATTTTTATAAAAAAATGAGTCTAATCTTAATATATATGTATATATATATATAATATTTATATAATATATTAAATATTTAATATTTTGGTTAATTCGGTTAATTAACCTATTTCGAATCGGATTAACTGTTAATTGAACTTTGAAAATTTTATAAACCGTTAACCGATCTAACATCAAATTAACCAACCGATTAACCGAATTAAAGTTCAGTTCGGTCGGTTGGTTAAAACCAAAAAGTGAACACCCCTAACCACAAAAGGAATAAGAGAATCATTAGGTGAAGATATCATACCTATGTTAATTTCTAAGGCAGGAGGATCCAGTTTAGGTTCTTGATAGTTGTTCACCTGTGTGATATCCTCTAAGTTTGTAGTAGGTCGTCCTTCCTAGTATGGTACAAGTTCCTGATTGGTATCAAATTGAGTATGAGACGGTGTTTTGGTTTGAGGAGTTTGTTTAGATGGTGTTTTGTTTGGAGGATGTAAACAAAGTTCCTGTGTGATAAATTTGCTTATATTGCAGTCACTGTCTCTGTTGAAAATAAGCTTTTTCTTTTCCTTGTGTAAAATAGCATGGAATAATGGAAAATTAACTTGTATATTTACCAAGAAAACATGGCCTATTTATAAAAGAAAAGGAAAATAAAGTCCTTACTTCCAGCCCAAGAATAAAATATAACCATAGAAAAATAACTAAAATTGAATACAGCTTGTAACATCTTGAAAGTGTTACCATATAATATTCCCTAGTTCATAGGGGCATTACCTATGGTGCTCCGACTCGTTTTTTTTAAGTACTCATGTCCAAAACTTTTGTCAATGCATAATTGAACATGGGTATGGGTAACTTCCCTAAAACCCTCCAAATACATGAAAAACTAAAAAAAAAAATTGCACATGTTCAAGTAGGGCACATACCCGTATTAGACACTCACACTTGAGTCTGAGTAACCATGTTCCTTTTTCCTGTTCTAGACACAAGAGTTGCAGATCAGAAGGTGTTCACCTTTACTTGAAAAATCATCATTGTCAAGTAATGGTGCACTGGTATCGGATGAATGGAAAGCAGTCCCCGACATTTGGAGGTCTTCAGCTGAGAAGTATGGTGATCGAGTAGCATCGGTGGATCCATATCATGATCCGCCATCTACCTTGACTTATAAACAGGTAAATTGTTGCTTCTATAAGTTATTACAAAACTATTTAGATATACATTAAAGTAGAAATATGAAGCCCAATTCATAATTTGTTAAACTAATATTTGAATACTCGTATCTTTCATAATTTTTTTTTGTATTTAGTTATCTTCAATTGTATTAATAGTTCATAAAATAAGTTTGTTTTCTAACTTCCCATTAGTATTTCCAGTATTTATGTAGAACAAGTAATTATATCTTTTCGATTGCCTTATTTTCAATTCCTCCCAAATTTCAGTTGGAGCAGGAAATATTGGACTTTGCTGAAGGTTTAAGGGTTATTGGAGTAAAGCCAGAAGAGAAGTATTCACTTTTTGCTGATAATTCGTGCCGGTGGCTTGTTGCTGATCAAGGTGCGTATCACTTGTAATTTGCCATTAACTTCCTCGCTGATGTCCATTAGCTAAAAAAAATAGGGTTCCTTGGTAGTGTACTTGTATTACCATATATATAATCTAAACATGTCATTACTAGTTTAAACACATTTAAAGGATTTTGCATGAACCAACTTATCTCAGTGGTTAAAAGAATCATTGTTGTTCCTAGAAGTATTGGGTTGAGCGCCAGTGACTGCAAGGGTGAAGTTGAATAACTAGCTATTGAATCAGTAGCCTAAGACATATGCTTTTAGAATTTAATAAATAATTATGCACGAATTTAAACCTTATGCAGCCATATATCTTCTTTTTCATTTCTTGATGCTCCACTTCCAACGAATTCAAAACCCGGATCACTTGTCAATCCCCATGATTCTAAGATGTATTTATTTTTAGAATCGAATGTCTTAAGGTTGTGACTAAAGATTTTGATGACACCGAGTTCATCTAAGAGTTCCTTTTTTTCCGAACCAAATGGAACTTTTATGGTAAAACTTCCATGCTTTAGATTATAAACATCAACTGCGTCTGGTTTTATGATTTTAATTTCTCTTGTGGGCAGTGAAGTTTTCCCTATATACATTTAGCATTGCTTTTGGCTATTCAAAAGCACTGTTCAAACTAGCTTTTGGATGCAAACCAAAAGGCTGGACAATAGGTGCTTTTGGCTTTTGGAATAGCTCATTTTGAAATAAAATTATGAAAATTGAAATTACCTCATTTATCGATCTGTCTTCCTAATAGCTTATAATTTAATGAAATTACTTTTGCAAACCAAGCTTTTCAAAAGCACTTTGTAACTTCAACAGAAATGCTAATCTAGTCCTAGGTTTCGAGACTTAAAAAAGGAAGAGGCCCTGTGTTTTCATTCTGAAAGCTGTGAGGTTATTCATTTTTATATCCTGAAATTGGTATACGACTGGTATCCGATGTAGGAACACATTTTTCTTTCTCTGTCAGTCTGATTACTAGTTCAATTTATGAAATCTTAAAATAACTTTGGTGTATTATTTTGGCCTAGCTATAATGACAACAGGAGCGATTAATATTGTCAGAGGGTCAAGATCAGCTGTGGAAGAGCTTTTACAGATATACAATCATTCTGAAAGGTTCAGGGAAATAAGTGCTTTTGTAATATACTTCAATATTTCTTTTCTTTCCTCTTTTTTCCTTTTTCCTTTTTGAAAAATAAAACACTTGACTTTTCCTGTTTGAAGTGAACTCTAGTTTTGTAGTTTTCTAAGCAAAAGATATCCTGACATATTGTATGCAATGCCAACTATGTATACTCACTGTTGTTATTTATTGTGCGCTCAAGGATCTATTTTCACTTTAGTTTACATCAGCACACGAATCCAGCTATGTACTCCGATTCGGGTGTGAGTCATATACATGTACTTGAAATTGATATCACTATGGGAAATGTTGGATTACCCCTTCATTGAACATTCCTAATTCTAATGATTGGTAGTATTTTCTTCTTTTAATTTGATAATCCAAAATTTCTCTGCATGTAATCATGAAATATGTTATCATGAAGTAATCATTATTCTCATGAACAGTTAATTGTTGTTCAAAATGTAAATAACACACATGCAAGCTCACATGAACCTCATGTCTTCTGATCGCCCCTAGTTCTTATTTTTTGAAGTTATAAATGTTTGGGTTTCATTATCCAGGCTATTCTGCCTTCATTGTGATCTGTTCTACAGAAGTTACTGATTTTATATTATTGTTATGGCAGTGTTGGGCTTGTTGTTGACAATCCTGAATTTTTCAATCGTCTTGCCGGGAAATTTTGTTCCAATGCAACAATGAGATTTATTGTTCTACTTTGGGGGAAAAAATCACGCCTGGCCAACAATGAAACACTTGGTGTACCTGTATTCAGTTATGAGGAGGTTGTGAATTTAGGAAGAGAGAACCGTGCTGCCCTTATCGATTCTCTTGATGCTAGTAAGTTGATTGAACGCATAATTTGGATAAAATATTATACCTTGTCACTGTGGTTCCCTTGAGTTTGTTATTTAATTATGTACTTTCGTCTGCGCTTCAGTGTTGTGCTTTTGATTGCCCGAAGCCTTATGTCACTGAACAGAGACCAAGATCTTATCTGTCCAGCTTTGGAATCAAATTTATTCACAACCTTTAGTTTTTTCTCCTTGTGTATTACCTGCTATATTGTTCTGACTACATTTTTTATCCTGAACTACCAGCCTTTTACTTGTGCCCAACACATATCCGGATACGGGTATGGGGTTACAATCCTCTGAAGACTCTCCAAATAAATGGAGAAAACTTAAAAAAATATATTAAGCATGTCTATGCTGGACACATACCCATATTTGATACACCTGAGTCCAAGTAACATAGCTAACTACATTTTGCATGTGCAGATGATTGGTTTAAAACGATATTGACCTGTCACTGGTTCTTGCATTTTAGGGCTTCTGATTTAAGATGTGTTTTTTCTAATTTCATTATAATGTATTATTGATTGCAAAATGGTCCTTGGTTTTGAAAGTAAATATCAGTACGAATTTATGATAAAATTTAGATTCATTGGAACATTTACTGATGAAGTTGTTAAGCATTGGGAGCTGATTGTTACTTGGATTCAAGTGTGGGTTCCTGATATGAGTCCTAAGAGTTAATATCCTGTTACGTTTGTCCATATATGCTTCGGACATATATGAGCCTCTGCTTTAAAACTCTGTGAGCTTGGGGTGAAAGGTGGATCACATTTCTCTGGTTATGCCCTCCATGTTCATCATTCTTAACACCTAAAGTTTCATTGAGTCCTAAATAGCCGCTTCATACATGATGATACTTGCATGATAGTTTGCATGTTACTTCTATTTAATCATGCATGTTGTACAACTTGTCTAAATCATATGGTCTCACTATGAGTTTCCTCAATAGATTTATAACAGTTGGCTAAATGTGATTTCAGGAAAAGGTTACAAATATGAAGCCATCAGCTCAGCTGATATTGCTACTCTCGTATATACAAGTGGAACCACTGGTAATCCAAAAGGTGTTATGCTTTCACATAAAAATTTATTACACCAGGTAACTTCTTAATACTGATTTAGGTATTCTAGTTCTCACAAGTCACAAAAGAACATTGTTTTAATTGAGTACTGAGCCAATTTTCCCCCATCTGAAGTAATATGCTTATATGTGAAGGGTGAACTAGTGAATATAGTGAAATGGTTGTAGCTATGTATCTACGTAACTGCTATCTGAGGCAATTGTTCTTCTTTCTTTTTCAGTTGTCAGTAAGCTAATAAAGTTTCATTTCTTTTGGGTAATTCGTGTCATGCTTTTTTATCTCCTAGTTGTTCCAAGCTTTAGATTACCGAAATTGATCCCGAAGATGGTAGTGTGTCAGATGTCTACATTTTTTATGTCCTAGTTATTTCAAGAACCCATTGATTGGCCTTAGTAGTAAAAGGAAATGTTGTTTTCCCTTGATGAATCGGGTTTGAGCAGCTGCGTCTGCAGGGTGTGTGTGTGTTGTCATCAATATTCTATCCGATTCTGTTATTATTCACTCATTTTTATTATATTCGAATAGTGTATATCCGAGAATTAACATCTGCATACTCCAAATCGTGAATGGTAATTAATTTCCAAACTCGAGTATTATCTGAATACTTTTTTATCCAAAGGGGTTTGAGCTCTAGGCTTGAAATCTATACTGACTCATGTTGCCGTGTATTTGTGGCTTATCTTTCTATGGAGAACATTCAACTATTTTGTTTCTTATAATTGAAAGAAACCTCTTGCTTAATATCTATTGTTTATTATTTTTTTGTTGTCTTTTCAGATAGAAAATTTGGGGGTTCTTGGACCTGCTAAACCAGGGGATAGATTTCTAAGTATGCTTCCTACTTGGCACATGTATGAGCGATCTTGTGAGTATTTCCTATTTACTCGTGGAATTGAGCAAGTCTATACAACCGTGAGAACTTTGAAGGTATTGTTTATTGTAGAATAATTAATGGTTATCGAATGATTCTTCGTGTTGCATGATTATTAGTTTTTTACTTATTTGTTAATTATATATATATTTTCTTTTGTAGGATGATTTGAGAAATTATAAGCCAGATTACATGATTTCTGTACCTTTAGTGTATGAAACACTCTATAGGTATGTCTTTTTCTCGGGATTTCGGAAACTTAATTAATCTGCTCTGGAAAAGTTTATTGGGATACTTTTCTTTGGAAACAATTATAAATTATTTTGTTGGTCAGTGAAATTAGGTTCTCTTAAACGCACTTTAGTAAAAAATAAAAGGAAAATGCTAATTGTTCATGTTGCATTGCATCCACATGTGCTATATTTTCATGTGTTCCATCAGTTCAGAGTTATGCATTATTCCTAATATATGATAAAATATATCATATTATATAATCATTTCATGGGGAAAAATCCCTGCATTTTAATAGTTATAAAATCAAGTTTAATTTTCTTGCTATACAATCTAGTGGGGAAAACTCTTTCAAAGAAGTAATCTCTTAATCCGATTTTATAGCTTGTGCTCAAATTTTTTCATATAGATTTTGTTGATACATTTTAGCTCATAAACTTTGAAAACTTTTTGTTGAAGTATGATTGATAAGGAGTCGGTTTTGTAGTGTTCAGTTATACAATTAATAATTTCTTTCACTAGCTTGAGTGATTGGTGTAGTCCGTTGCCTTCTAAAGATTGTTGTAACATGCGTCTCTAGTTTATGAAAAACAATTTTTTGTTGAGCATGATGGTGAAAAGAACCAAACTACGGTCCTAATCAGGGCAATGATTGAGCCAAGTCAAGCTTAAGTTTTCAGAAGCATGAGTTTGAGCTCTGCTTGAAATTTGACACTTGAAGCTTGACTTGAGTGTGATTGAGTTCATTTTTCAAAGGTGGACTTGAGATGAAGATCAAAATGCTTGAGTATCTGAGTAGTCTCGTCTACGTAGTAATTATGAGCATATTTCCAAGCTTGACTTCAAGCTCAATTTATTTGTCTTCAAGCTTGATTTCGAATTGAAAAATTTCTTTTGAAAAACCTCGATTTGGCTTGTGAGTACGTGATAGCTCAAGCTTGAGCTTAACTCAACAATGACCAAACTGAATTCGATTTCTTTTTGTGGAAACCAGTAACTTACGAGCAGTCTCATTTATACATCTAGTATTGACTCATTTTCTTAGTAATGAGAGTTATGTTTGTAATTTTAGATTTTAAATCTAGATGGCCGAGGTTCATCATGCATGATTGGTTGATTAAAGATTGTATCCGATTATTCAACAACAACAAAAAATCTTTTGGGATAAATGTTGTTTCTCATCTTATGTGTTTGACTGGTTTTCATGTCTATCTATCTGACATGAATGCTATTTATATTGCTACGACCAGTCTCCAGTTAAATTTTTTGCGTAAGGAACTCTTTGATTTCCAGTTGCAGCTTTTAAAATATTTTTGGATTGCTTTGCAGTGGGATTCAAAAGCAGACCTCTACGAGCCCCAATGCTATTAAATTAATGGTACTTTCATTCATAAGGATCAGCTTGGCATATACAGAGTTGAAGAGAATTTACAAGGTGATGGCAACTGAGCTTTTTTACAATTTTTATGAACCTAAAGTTAAATTCTGCAAATTCCTTGTTTATGCTTCCTATGGCTTAAATTCATTCTTTTAAAGCCCTAAAACTAGAGATAAATGTGAATTAGATGCCAGTGTAATCTGATACCCATAGTTCTTTTATTATTATAATGGTTAACGTTCAACTAAGACCATAAAGTTTCTTAAACTTACAACCCCTTTGCCGAAAGACCATATAACGACTATTTTCTTAGTAAATTAATGTTTTTTAAGCATTTGCACCTTTCAATAAAATTGTTAAAATCCTACTATATGTAGAATCAGAGTTAACACTGTTGGTGCAAAAGCTATGTGTGCTAATTTTTTCTCTCTGATTTCTAGCACTGCTCTGCGTTGTGCAACTTTCATTTTTTAAGGTTATTTTATTGGCACTTTTTGCTCAGTTTAATGTGCGATTTCTTTAGAGGATTTCACTATATTTGATGAGAATTTTTGGAGATATACATACTGAAAATAATTGGAGAATCCTTGAAAACTTGAAAGCTTATCTTGCTGCAGCCATTACTTTTCATATACCACTTGGAAACTTTTATGGGACAAAATCTTTAGTTTTTTAATAAATATCTTGAAGATTCTTGCCACTCTTGATGCAAATTATGAACGTGATCAAGGATCAGTAGAGAAGATTTTTTTTCTCTGGACTACTCTTCTATAAGGGTGGCAACATCTTAATACATACAGCCTTTGTATTTTCGAGTTAGGTTAATGAGCTTCATTGTATTTTTTGCTCTAATCAGTTTGCTAAGAAACAATTAGTGTGCTTTTTGAGTGTGTTGTGTTTTCAGTGAGTGTCTAAATAATAATTGGGGATTATTTAACAGAGAGAATAGCTAGGATAATATTGTACGGGAGTGCCTCCAACTAGTGTGGAGTTGGGTTGACGTTAACATGTCTCTCGTATTGAGAATAGTGGACTTCTCTTTAAGCAAGGCTCCGCAGACGGAGGATCGTTGTTTGATTTACAGTCTCTGTCTTATCTGTTTACATTTTCTGTTTTCAGTGTTTTATCCCATTTACCACTGACCTAAAGCTTTGTCCGGGCACTAGACCAACAAACACAATTCCGTTTATCCTGGAAATCAATTGACAATTATGTTTCCATTTCAGAATTAACTAAGCTGATGAAGTTTTCTGTAGCATATGGTGACTAGTCTAGGACCTATGGAGCCTATAGATACCCATATTGGTCACAGCTCTACATCCAACACATACCATACGAGTCCAAATAACTTAGCTATTGTCTAGTTGCCCCATGTATTGGATGTGACATATAATGAGTTACAGTGCTATTAAACTTGCTGTACTATCACGTTCCCTATTAGTTACTTGATTCAACTCCATTTTCCCTTTGCTTTTATTTTGTTAATAATTTAAGTGTTTCATATCAATTTTCCCCTTTGCTTTTATTTGATTAACAGGGACTATGCCTAACAAACAATCCAAAGGAACCTTCATATGTTGTAGCCATGTTAGATTACTTATGGGCTAGAGTGATTGCTGCATTATTGTGGCCATTGCATGCATTAGCTACGAAGTTTGTCTATGCAAAAATCCGCTCTGCTATTGGAATACAAAAGGTTTGATCTATTTGCTGGATAAACTTGTTATTGAAGTTTTCGTAATCCAGCTGTTAAAGTTAACTGTGTTTATCATCCAAGAAGAATCTGTATGAATTATTATGATGCCTCAAGCTCTTCTTTTTTCTTAAGTACCTGTGTCCAATACTTGTGTTTAACAAATTTCTGGATAAGGGTTTGGGAATGTTACCCTGCAACGACCCTTCAAATACATGGAAAAACATACGCGAAGTACCAGCGTTCTGTATATACCCTTATTCGACACTCACATGTTAGTCTGAGAAACTTAAGTGTATTCCAATAAAAGAAAAATTTTACAAAGGGGAAAAAGGAAGAGGGACTGATTATCGTTTGGTCTTTTATGTACAAAGATCCCTGTTGCTATGTAACTTTTATTTTACTTTGTTCAACATTTCTCATTTTTTTGTTCTGGATTTTATCTATTATCTTTTTTAATCATCCTCTAGACTGCCAAAAGCGGAGGTGGAAGTTTGCCGACACATATTGAAAAGTTTTATGAGGTTAGATGCTGATATGTTCTTGGTATTCAAATTAAAAGGTTAGTAATCATTATATCTTATTTCATGGAGTCACATACATGCAGGCAATTGGTCTAGAAGTAGAAAACGGATACGGTTTAACAGAAACAGCCCCTTGTATTGCTGGTCGACGACCTTCCTATAATGTATGATACCTCTATCTCTTTCTATTATTACTTTTATCTGGAACTGCTCTCTCTTCCATGCTACCTGTGGTAGTGCATTGACTTCTCATCAGCAATGTGAAGAAATTCTCAATAAGAGAACTAATAGTTGTATACCCGGCAATCTGTGTTGGTCCAACTCTTAATTTTTCTTGAAGTAGAAGAGCCTGATGCATACCCAGATATGAATATGGAGATATTTCCCTACAGAAGCCTTTCAAATACATGAAAAACTTATAAAACACTGAACAGACTTGCTAATATGTCATCGTAATACTTTTGCATGATAAGCGTATCTTATTGGATTCACCGTTTTGTTTTTTATACTATTTTTTCTTTTTTGTCTTCGTGTCATCTGATCTTATTTGTGTACTTTCTTTGGCCTAAATTGTAACGAACTCGAGAGTCTTCCATTATATGAAAATCTCTCTTGTTTTACTTTAAAGGTTCTTGGTTCTGTTGGGCATCCAATTCCCCTCACAGAATACAAAATTGTAGATCCAGAAACCGATGAAATCCTCCCACCTGGTTCCAAGGGCGTTATCAAGGTTAGGGGGCCGCCAGTGATGAAAGGTTACTATAAGGTAACGTTATGTTAAAATATGCTTATGAAAACTATTGTCGTATGTTCATATATTGTGCAGTTTTTACAACATGCAGTCTAAGCTTGTAACCTTTAGTTATTTATTTTTATAAAGAGAATCAAGAAACATAAGAATAGCCACAAATAATTCAAAATTAATGAAATAAAAATGGGACTTATCATATTTAGCATCCAATCACCTGAAATCTGCTCAAATGTTTTATTTGATACCTGAAGTTTAACAAGTCACAACTAGGTACACAAACTTTGCTTCAGTTAAATAGTTTGCACCTAAGAATATCTCCATTAGTTTAACGGCTGATGTGGCATAAATCTGGCCATAGAAATGCTAGACCTTTATTTTTTTGGTCGTGTCACACATTTGACTAAGGGAGTTAGTGAGTATACAATTAACGAAGTTGAATTAATCGATCATGAATTTATTTTCTTCATGCACCAAATGTGTATTAACCTGTAAAAATGTTTAGAATTGGTCTTGCATATAGAAAATGCCTTGTGCCATAAGCTATGCTTTTGGAATTGAGAAAATAACCTCAGTGACCAAAAATCCTAGATAATATACGATTTTGACCAACTTTTTTTGGATTTGCGAAAATGACCAACAAAATCGCAATACGATCTCTAATTCGCATTGTGATCTCCACTATCGCAAATTCGCGTTGCATTTCGCGTTGCGATTTTTCATTTCGCGTTGCGATTTTCCAGTTCGCGTTGCGATAGTTGAAAATCGCGTTGCGATTTTCCATTTCGCGTTGCGATAGTCTACAGTTGTCGTTGCGATTTTCCAAATTCGTTGTGATAGTTAAAAAAAAATATTTTGTTTCTCTAAAAAGATAGTATCCGCGCGGACGTGTCGAAGACACATATTACCACGACCCCGACCCCGACCCGACCCGAGACGGACGGCGGCGGCGCGCGAGAGTCCCCCTTGTTCTCTATCATTCAACAAGGAAGTGAGAAAGCCAAGCTTTAAATACTATTCCTAATAGTGTTTCCAATATTATGTGGGATTTGAGCATTACCAACACTTGTTCCCGATACTATGTGGGATTGAGCCTTAAATAGTGATATTATTTTTGAATGTTTTGCTTAAAATTGCAATAATCGCGATTGATTGTAGATTGACTTTTAATTATGACATATTTAATCGTATAATACTAATGCAATTGGTTGCTAATTGAGTTGTTTTAAGGTGCATGATTGTTAATTGTTTCCTGAATAATTACATTGTATTGGAAACAAGTGTTGGTAATGCTCAATCCCACATAGTATTGGAAACACTATTGGGAATGGTATTTAAGGCTTGGCTTTCCCACTTCCTTGTTGAGTGATAGAGAAAAAGGGGGACTCTCGCGCGCCGCCGCCGTCCGTCTCGGGTCGTGGTCGTGGTCGTGGTCGTGGTCGTGGTCGTGGTCGTGGTCGTGGTCGTGGTAATACGTGTCTTCGACACGTCCGCGCGGATACTATCTTTTTAGAGAAAATTCTTAAGAGACAACTGTAGACTATCGCAACGCGAAATAGAAAATCGCAACATGATTTTCAACTATCGCAACGCGAATTTGCGACAGTGGAGATCGCATTGCGATTTTGTTGGTCATTTTCGCAAATCTAAAAAAAGTTGGTCAAAATCGTATATTATCTAGGATTTTTGGTCACTGAGGTTATTTTCTCTTTGGAATTTGGGCAGTAGGAAAATTTTCACTTTTGTAAGTGGTAGAGTGGAAGGTGACTTAACCAAAGAAACACAATCTACTTGGTTTTTGGCTCAGACTATTTCAGGCTTGTGTTTAAGGATTCAATGTTGGCAATTAAGAAGTCGATATTTTTGCTGTTTTTTTGGTTGTGTAGAAAACAAAAAACCTAAATGAAGCCAAGAAAACATTTAAACATGTATACTTCCTATTTTTTTAATTCAGGAAACACCAATATTATTTCAAAGAAAAGATATTTACAGTGTTTGTTTTGTTGGACGATTTTGTCTGTTTAAGAAAGAATTCCGAGAGTATAAATGTATAATAGTTTTATTCTTCTAGGAATTTGGGATTAAACTTTCGTTGTTTACCAATGTCATATTACATGCAATTGATGATTGTGGCATCTTAAATGACATTTTCCGGTCATTTTTTGAATTAGAATCCATTGGCTACGAGGCAAGCCATAGATGAAGATGGTTGGCTAAACACTGGTGATCTAGGTTGGATTGCTCCTCATCATTCAGTAGGACGAAGTCGACGATGCGGAGGTGTGGTGGTTTTCGAAGGACGCGTCAAGGACACTATTGTTCTTTCTTCCGGTATATTTTAAAGCCTCTTAAACACGTATAACTCTAATAGTGCAATCTTAATACTAGTGATCCGAAACAATCATCCCCATGTAGCTTTGATTGGGCTAATTAGGTCCTTTATTGCATTTCCTTTTAGATTTGCTCAGTTAGAGTATCATGTCACGTTTGGTATACAAGTAACAACACAAGGAAAAGGCTTAATTATTGCACGAGTTATTATGAGTTTTAAAATAGTTTATATAAAATACAGAAGATTTGGCATAAACCTAAACTTGAAGTGAGGAAGATGAGTAAAAACTCCGAGTAAAAAATAACACTTATTCAAAATAAGCAATATATATTCCTTATCTTTGTTCAAATTAAGCCATGTGAGCGGCTAAAAATTACCTAGTGAAGGTAGTTTGTTCCTATCTTACGTATTAAACATGAGGAAAAATTAACACTCCAACCAAATGTAGCATGAATGTTTTAGCTACTGAACAAAATGAACATATGACCGTATGCACTCTTCTGTCCTTATTGTGAGACCACATTTTTCTCTTTTCTGTATGCAGTTTCCAGTTATAATTTTGAGTTATGTGTCATAATTTACTTGGGGCCTCAATCTGGTTCCTAACTTCTATCTTTAATATAACTATTATAATATAAATCTCATAGAATTTGACATTATCAATATCTGCCATACCTGATAAAAGACACCTGCACTCAGTTCTTTTGGTTCGACTATGGTGCTTTTTGTGGTGATTTAGGTTCCTTGGACTTGGGCTTGTGTCCAAAGAGTATGTTCAATTTTTCTTATGATTTTCTTGTACTTGGAGAGTCTTTGAAGTTTGAAGGACCAATGTCCGGATATGCATCGAACACATGTATTGCAAGAACGTAAAGAGTCAAAGCAACATATGTGGAGACTATAGGATTGAGAGATACTGCTCTCTTTCTCTTGGTAGTTGGGAAAATTTTATGGTCAGAGTTTTCAAAGTTGAACTTTGATGCTGCAACCATACTTCGAAGCCTTTTCTTTTAATAAACTCTGTTAAGCACACATTTAAGATTCTTTCCTTTATTAACCCAAAATGATTTTCCTCGGAGAAAATAGGTGAAAATGTTGAACCTTTAGAGATTGAAGAAGCTGCCATGAGGAGTGCTCTTATTCAACAGATTGTTGTCATCGGCCAGGCAAGTCTAACACATTTAGAGATTGAATCTGTGCATGTATTGTTTCAATCTTTTTTAACATTTCATTGTTGACCGACATCTTCCAGGATCAACGACGCCTTGGCGCTATCGTTGTCCCAAACAAAGATGAAGTTCTCCTGGTAGCAAAAAATGCATCTATTGTAGATTCAGATGCCGTCAATCTCAGCAAGGACCAAATTACAAGCATGCTATATGACGAATTGAGAAAATGGTAATAATCGGTTACTTGAATTATTTTAGTTTTGATGTAAGATTCTATACTGGTGTCATCTCTTCCCCCCCCCCCCTTCCTTTCATGTTGCAGTACTTGGGAAACATGGAAATTTTGGGTTTCGGGAAATCTAAACCGAAAGTTGCTAGGTTTAATGTGCTATGAAGTATGAACGCTGCAGAGATATGGTTACAATTATTGCTTGTAGGCTTCAAGCCTGCTGGAAAATTCCAATTTCTGTCCAGTAGTAGATTCTTTCTGCTACCCCAAAGACCAACCCTTCATTTTCTGTTAAGTACCTGTGTCTGATACTCTTGTTCAACACATATTTGGAGATGAGTATGGGATATGATTCTCAAAATCTATACAAAAACCAGAACAAAAAAGAAAATTGATTATACTTATCTTGTTATTACAAAAGGTTCAGTCGCTTGGAACATGACATGAGTGCTTAACTATTCTCTTTTATGCAGGACATCTGAGTGTTCATTCCAAATCGGACCAATCCTTGTTGTGGATGAACCTTTTACGGTAACACGCATGCTCTGCCATTATGTGATTCTGCATGTTTTATGTTGGACATATATTTATACATGTTTTTGGTTTGTAGATCGAGAGTGGCTTATTGACCCCAACCATGAAAATCCGAAGAGACCGAGTTGTGGCTCAATACAAGGAGGAAATAGCCAATCTCTTCATGTAGTTTCGTTTTTTGTGAAAACATGACTATTGTTGAAAACTGCAATAAGATTAGTAATGTGAGTTATCCTCCATATTGGTAGCATTTTGTTGACCTTTATAATTGCTTGAAAATATAATAGTTATCTTAATAATTATATCATACAATTTTAGTTCTCTAATCATGTTACCCGATATAGTGTAAGTACACATGTTTGATAATATAAATTGGAGTTACATAATTTCATTAATATAAAATTTAATATTGTTATCGTAAAATTATTAATATTACTTAAAAACATCTTATAATCTCTAAGTACTGAACTATTGAGATATATATTTAATAATAAAATTATTAATAAAAAACAAGAAAAATATTTTCTACAATTTTATTCTCTCTCTATTATTCTAAGTTTCCGTTCTGGACAGTAAAAATATTCTTTATTTTGATTTTTAATTTTAAAATAAATAATATTTTATTTTTTAATAATAGAAATAAGAAAATTATTATTTATAATGATTCGAATAGACATCAGACTATAATAGTTCTGCACAAATCCAAAATAATAATCTCCTTGTAATTTGATTGGGCCTATTAGGTCCTTTATTGCATTTCCTTCTACATTTGCAGAGTATCATATCATGTTTAATTCGACTAAGTTAAAACTCGATCAATATTCGACTTGGGTTGAATTGATTGAATTTAAACTTGACTCGAGACCTTAACGAATTGAGTCAAATAAGGTTTAACTCGACTCGATAAACTAGCGATCAGTTCGTTAATTTTTTATGTAATTTTTAATTATTATCTTAAAAATTAATACATTTAAAAAGTCTAAATAATAATTACTAATTTGTTAATAAATAATAAGAAAGATGATAAATTACAAATTAATATTAATTTACTAATATATTATTTTACTAATTTATTAGTTTAGTGTATATGGGGACTGTTACTTAAGAGTTTAGACTTCAAAATTATTTCACTCTCTTTTGATATTTTTTGGTTAAATTTATTAAATTATATTTATATTAAACTCTCTATAGTATTAGTAGATTTTACCTATATTAAACTCTATAAGGTAAAAATTTTGGTTAGCTTAACTAAAAAATAGTCGAATCGAGCAATAAATTTTATTAACAAGTACGAGCCAAGAAAAATTTTAACGAAAGCAACGATTCAAGTTGAGCAACAAAATAACGAGTATGAATCGAACACTACTCAACTCACGATTGGCTCGCTCGATAAGCGCCCTAATCACGTTTGGTACACAAGTAATCACGTAAGGAAAAGGCTTAATTGTTACATGAGTTATTATGTTAAAATAGTTTGTATAAAATACAAAAGAATAGGTATAAATCTTAACTTGAAGCAAGGAAGATGAGTAAATATCGGTATAATAAATGTTGAATTTATAAAAAAAAAATGACCTCATTTGATTTTTTATTAATATATGAACTAAATTAATTCATTTAATAGTAGAGGTACAAAATTAAACCAATCTCTATATTAGAACTGTATTAACTCATTGAATAATAAAAGGGTCTAAACTGATACATTACCTATAATAGAGAGACCTGGCAAATACTTTCACCAAAATGATTTATTCTTGTTTCACCTCACCTAGGTTGTTTCGAGAAATAAAAGCATATACCTTATTGGATGCAGTATTTTGATTTTCCATTCACAAGATCAGTTAACGAATATCTTTAATGCGAACATAGAAACTTTTCAAAGGACCATTCTCCATAATAAGCAAATCAATTTCCATAATTCAATTCTTGGTATTCTACATGACTGTTTATGTCATTAAAATTCCAGTAGATTACAGAAACTAGAGATAGAAAGATAGCTAACCATTCTCCAGAGATGTTGTATCTTGTGGAAGGGTTTGATCCTGGCAAATATCGCGTCCGATGATTTCCTGATAATGGATTCGGCAGATTTCTAAGATTATATACGATACTGACAGTTGAGCTAACAAAGTTATACAGGCTGCATCACAGTCACATATCGGAGGCATCGTCAGACCGAAGTTCTAATCGCATCTGTTCTAAAAGTAACTTTTCAACAGCATCCGCAAAAGCCGATAAACTTTGACGAATGTTCATGTCCAAGGAATTAGCCATTTCCTAATGAATGAAATCAAAGAAAAAGAAAAATCGAAAACAAAAATGAAATTCATCAAATTGATAAAGAGCACAAAACAGAAACAGGAAAGCTGAATTTTTTTCTCATCCTATGATAAATGGGACCATAGTTAAATGCTTCTCCATGCCTTAAACTAGAAAAACAGATGACCAGTATACATTAAAGGAAAAAATCAATTGAGCCTAAATCACAAACAAATTGGAGTTCACCATTCGCTGTTCTACCCTCCCAGAAAATAATTTTTGTATATGTTTTTGAGCTAGACTCTGGTTTTAATTAAGGGAATGTTTCCACTTCCAGGGAGACGTGCATTCTGAAGGTACTAAAATCTTCAGTGCATTTGAAATAAAAGATAAATAAATACCACCAACCTGGACCTTGCAAAGCAAGCTCAATGAAATTCCCCCTGAATGATGATCTGAGCTCTTGACAGATAACAGTTTCAATGGAGATTTTGATAGCGGCCAACCTTGAGATACCTTTATAAATGCATCAATTCCCCCAACCATATGAGCTGCAATGGTCTCATCTTTCTCGATGTACTCAAAACAATACCTGCATTAAGTACTATTCAAATGTAAATAGCTTATCTTTTTGCCTATTTTCTAAGCACAAATGATAAGCTACTTTGAAAGTTTTGAAAATAATATATTATTAGTTATTAAACTTTATTTATGTGTCTCACCTTGATTTATTTCTACTCTTCACGATATATCTTCTCAAAGTACTCAATATAATCCTATCCTGCACTTTTCCCACAAGCCACTCCAATGAAGACCATCGCTCCGGTGCCACTAAGTTAGTGGATAGTTGCCTACAACATTACAATAGTTCATACCCCTTATTAAAAAATTCAAGTCAAGGTCTATTGTCATAGAACTGGATAAAAATAATGTTTCCTGTCAGGTTTTATTAAGTTACTAGCAATCTGTACATGGCTGGTTTATTAAAGCCAAACTAAAATGTATATCTATATAAATAATAGATGTATATAGAACAAGTACGGCAAAGCTCAGTAAAAGGGGGCAGGAGCTACATACCATGAGCAGTACCTTTAGCAAAAAAACAAAAAACAAGGATTAGTAAAGCTTATATACCTAATGGGACTACCTTGGGAAACAGGACCTACAATGGACGTAAAGATGGGAATTTAAAGGCTCAAATGAGTAAAAGGGAAAACAGATTGCAGCTCTAGGTCGAAAAAAATACCTGTCAATAAAAATACCATAATTTGATAATACCCTCCAAATGATGGATAAATAGATGTATCAAAGAGGATTATGGGTTTTATACTTTATTTAGGGCAGATAGTAGCAAGGATGAGAAAAGATATGCAGGTAATTCTAGGTTTGGATAATATAAGACATTGAAAACTGAAAGAACAAGAAACTAGATTGTCCTTCAGAAGACTTCCTTTTCAAGAAATCATACTAGCGTTCCAATATAAACTGATAAAGTATGTTCCCTTTTTTGGCCTTCTACTACTACACATGCACAAATGTACAAAATTAAATATGATAAATTAGGATTCAGCCTCTAAGTTAGAGAAATTGAGAAAACCCAACCTGAAAGACTTTGCAGCATCAAGTATATCGCCTATGTAAACATCATTTGGGAACATCTAGACAACATGATACATTAGTAAGATTTTCAACACAATTGAACAAAAAGACATGAACCATGATTCTTCTTTAGAAGAAAGTACAGCTTTTCTAATGCATGGTTAATTTGAGATAAAAAGAAAACATGGACTGAACTAATAAATGAAGATTATCATCCAAAAGGAAAAATATATGACAGTAACTTTTGTGAAAATAGTGATGACAATAGATTTTTAACTTTTATTTTTGTCGTTTCCAGTTCGATTGCATTAAATAGAAAGGAAACTGAATATTTTGGCATTCCTAAAACCACTTTTTCCCTTTTCAGTTTACTTCACATGAATATCCGACATATAGTTTTTTTCTCCATTAGAACAGAGATGCAGAAAATAACAGATGATTTCAATTTTTCATGAGAAAAGTTGATCATACCTCAACGTTCTTGACCTCCATGGTCCCATCATCCATTATCTCTAGCAGCAATTCATGATTCATTACAGATGGCTCATCAGTATCATCAATAATTGTTTGCCACAAAGCACCCTCTACTTTTGGAATATATGTCTGTAATGACAGCCTAATGCAGTTTCCATCAAAGCCAATGACTTTCAAGCCTGCCAATGCATCTTCAATCTGTTCTAAGGCATCTAATCTGAAAACAAAACAAAACAAAACAAAACGATATAGCTTTATAAGATAAATGATATAGAACACATACAATTAAATGGAAAAAATTGAACTACCTTTTGAATGTAGAATCAAGATTCTGCAAAGACTTCAAAATTGCGTTGTTCTTCTCAATCTGACTTTCTAGTTCCAAAATCTGAAATGCATATATATATATATATATATATAAGGATATCAAATGCTCGATGAAGTAAAATGCTGTTTAGAACCCAGAATTTAACATACATTACTAGCATATAGAAATAAGTGATATCCTAATTGAGCATATCAAACATCTTAGATAACTGCAAGAAAGTTATCACCAAAGAAAAGAGATTCTTGTAAGGATGCTTACAGAGCAAACAAAAACCAATGCTACAATTCTCAAAGTTCAGCCATCAGTTTAAATCTAATGTAGTATTCGAGAAGCAAGAGAGAGGAAACAAAAAAAACCTCAAACTTTTGCTCTTCATTCGCATCCATCAGATTTGATTGATGTCCATCATTCATAGAAGAAGCGAAGAATGGACCCTCGTCTACTCTCTCCTACAACACAAAATAAGTAGGCGAGCTGACAGTTTAAGCTTGGCTTCCAAAATTGATTTCAAACTGAATGCCTATCAACCCGTCAAGGTTGGTTCACAAATGAATTAAAATAAGAGAAACAACCTGAGATGCAATAGAATCCAATGCACATTTCAAGCCTTCAAGATTGTGTTCCAGTATATTTGATTCTGTAAAAATAGAAGGTTAAAGGAAAAAAGTAAATCAGCAAAAGGAAATGAATTTAAAAGTAAATGCATGTAAAAATTAAACCCAAGTCAATGAAGACTCCTCACCTTCAATATGATTTCTTGATAGATCCTCGATTTCATTAGAAATCTTAGCACTTTCTGCCTCCACTTGATTAAGCTCCTCTTTCAAGTATGCTAGATATTTATCTATATGAATAATTCAGAAAAATACAACAATCTAACATCAACAGAACCATGCATTGCTACCATAGATATTTTCCCATGATGTGCTAGGTATTCATCTTTTCTGATCCAGGAGCTATTACCATGTTTATTCTATTACTTTGGTGATATTTATTAATTATTAGACATGTAGATAGATGGCTAGGATTATAAGTTATCCCAAAGAGCATCAAAAACCTTAAATGGGTCCATACGATTGGTTCAAAGAACTAAAACGAGCCAAAGAGGTCGCTACTTAATAAGATAACCTCTTGAAAACCCAATACTCCAATAAAAAGTGGAAGAAAGAGGAACATTAACCCAAGGCAGAGAAAAATATATAGGTATTTTCTTAAAGTTGAATTTGTACATGTACAAGGCAATTTATTTTTAATAAAACAAAAAAAAGAAGAAGCTAAAAACATCAAAGGAAACATACCTAAATCTTCAATGCCTAAGAAACCCACATCGGAATACTCCTCGGTAATTTGCTTCACTTTATTCTGCATTGATCACCCTTAATCTATTTAAAAAAAACAAAACCCTAAATTGTATAAAAGATAAATAGAGAATCACCTCGAGATGAGAAATGCAATCATTGAGAAACTTCTCCGAATCAGAGTAGAGAGCTTCACTCTCAACTTCATTTTGATTGCTACTATGAATCTCTGAGAGCTCACTTATTCGGCTGAAAACAAGATTAAATTTTTTTGGGGGGGTACAAAGAGAGAGAAAATCCTGTATAAAAATTTGCTTCACAACATAGGAAAATACCTGCGCATAGCGTGAGGATTAAGAGGTTCTGATGAAGAAATCTCCATCGGCTCCGCCAATTTTTTATTTTTATTTTTGGAAAATAAAACTAATATCCCGCCTGTTTGAAATTGGTGGAGCACGTTTATTTGTGTTTGGGTTGGAAAAATGGCGGGCTGGGCCTACTTATTTAAAATCGACATTTTCTTTTGCAAATTTAAAGTTAATAAAGTAATTCGGCTTCTTAATCAAATTACTTAGGTTACTTGAAAAATGAAATAAAATTATTTATTTAAATTTATTTCAATTTTAAAAATATATAACTTAATCCATCTAAAAAAATATTCAACATTTTTAAAATGTATAAAATATTATCAAAATTTTATAAATAATATATTAATATATAATTATATATATAAGAGTAAACTACACAAGTACCATTCAACTTTATGCTAACTCATTTATACCACTAAACTTCTATTTTTATCAATTATAACATTGAAATTTAGTTTTACATTGAACTATGTCACCCTGACATTAAATCAATAACATGATAATGACATGACTAACAGTTGTTGACATGACTTGTTATACAAAAAAACGTCATTTTGGTGTGACTATTTTAATACTTAAAACGATGTTGTTTTAGACATTAAACTCTATAGATGTATTGATTTTGTCAATAAACTTTTAAACAGTTTTCTTTTTTCATACTACACTTCTTGGGCGCATCAATCATAATTCATTACCCATCACTGATTGTCTTTTATAGTAAAATTGATACCAAAACGTTCACATTTCATTTCTCTTTATTCTCTTAGGATTAGTTTTTCATGAATCACAATCAAAGTTGACAGAGCTAAACAAAAAAATCTATCATTTTAAAGATGTGTAGAGGTTTTCTTCAATTTATGAGATTTTGGGTGTTTCTTCAAAAATTTGAATGATGAGAAGTAAGGCTATAAATGAGACGAGATAGATCGCGAGCTACTCGAGATCGACTCGGTCAAGGCTCAATAAATACTCGGATCGAATGAACTCGACTTGAGCTCGAGCTCGACTCGAATTCTTAACGAGCTGAAACGAGCTGCTTGATACTCGACTCGAAAAGCTCGTGACAGCTCGAAAATATAATATATTAAGATTTATTTTTAAAAAAAATAAATTATTAATAATATTAACATTTATGTGTTGATTTTTTTTTAAAAAATACAGTGAGACTTTTATGTATTTAAGATTTAGGTTCGAATTTGAGTTTGAGGCTTCAATCTAGTTAAGTTTAAGATTTTTTTTCATTTCGAGCATTTTCGAGCTGCTCACGAGCTTCAGTTCATGATTTCGAGTTCGAGTCGAGCTTAAAAATTTTAAGCTAGCGAGTTTTCGAGTCGATTCGAGCTTCAGTTCAGAGTTTTCGAGTCGAGTCGAGCTTAGCAATACTCGAGCTCGACTAGGCTCGTTTACACATCTAGTGAGAAGCATTATTTTGAGAAGACGGATGACATATCTCAAAATTAGTATTATCGAATGATCATTGAAAGGGATCAAGGTATTAATACGTCAAACTTTTAAATTGTTTTTTATCAATTTTGAGTGATTTTCATGAAAAATCAATCTTATAATAAAAAATAAGTGAAATGTAAATATTTTGTTAACGATCTTGTCGCGAAAGTCAGTCGATGACAGGTGATGATTGTCTGGCGGCGACAGCTAGAAATTATAGTGCTAAAAATATAAAGTGTTTAAAAGTTTAGTAGCAAAATTGATACACTCCTAAAAATTATTGCCTAAAACGACATCATTTTGAACATCAATAATCGTCATCAAAATGATGTTATTTTGATGTGACATGTCACACAGCAACCCTTAATCATGTCATCGTCTCGTTGAAAGTTTTTGATTAGGTTAGAAGGAGAGATAGATGCACCAAATTCATATGTCATTGCGTAGTTGAAAGTTTTAAAGGATAGCTCTCAGCTACCAGATTCTTATATCTCTTATTTATATGACCAAAGCTCTCCGCAAACTTCGACGGTAACACACTTCCATCTACTACTCATATAAGCTTCTTTCATACAATCATCACTGCCATTATCACCACCAACGTTTCCACATCCGTTATTGCTGGTACTTGCGTTTCAATTTACTCCTAACCTTTGATTTTTGTTTTGAAACAGAAAATGATGGTGAGCGTTGAAGAAATACGTAAGGCTCAATTTATAGAAGGGCTGACCACCGTGTTGGCGATCGGCACATCAACTCCGCCAAATTGCGTTGATCAAAGCACTTATCCTGACTATTATTTTCGTATCACAAACAGTGAGCACAAGATTGAGCTGAAAGAGAAATTAAAACGCATGTGTAAGCTTCTTTTTCTTTTATCATTATCGTTATTTGGATGCACATAGTTGATGGATATTGAAGGAATATTAAAAGATAAGATAATGGGTAAGTGATCAATTTTTTAATAGTCTCAAATGATTATATGATAATATATATTTAATTTTTTTTAACTTATGATAATTTATAGATATCTTATAGATGCATATACTCAAACTCGGCCCTTTAAATAAAAACAACATTCTTAAGGCAACTCACTTGAATCCAATGGGTTCGGGTGATTAACTGTTTAAAATGGGTTCAATAGAAATATATAAAATAATTTTAAATCTAATTAATATTAATTTTCACGTTATTTAATTTAAAAAAATACAAAATCTAAGTAGGGGTCTCAAATAAAATGCGGAATATTCTTCCTGCATGATCAGATTCAAATAGTAAATCATATAAATACGATATGTTTAATAAATATAAGCTCACTTAAAACATGTTTAATGCATATATTATATTGGTGTTTAAAATATTGATCTATTTTAATTATATTTATACTATTAACATAAAAGTATTCTTAAATTCTAAAATATATATTACGTTGGTGTTTGATTTAATTATATACTATATGGTTGACCCATTTGATAATTTAGGTTTTATTATATTATCGCTACAAAATTTATATTGAAAAATAAATTTATTTTATGTCGAATAATTATCTAATTATTATTTTAAAAACCTGTAATATAAAATTATTTTTAATCTTTTTTATGAATTCGCAATGATTTTTTTATTGAGAAGTAAATAAGTTCAGAGATTAATTTATTGAGTCTAATAACTTAAAATGATTTTTTTATGATTTTAATGGGTGAGATTTGAATAGTTTAAAATATTATATAATAATAATTTAAAGGTTCATTAACTCAATTTAATATCATCAAAGTTCAACCTGAAGAATAAGAGAATCTGATTTAATTTTTTTATAGAGAAAATAAACTCAGTGATCAAAAATGCCTTATAATATACGATTTTAACCAACTTTTTTTGGATTTGCCAAAATGACCAACTAAATCGCAATGCGATCGATAATTCACAACGCGATCTCCGGTATCACAAATCAGTTTCCAGATTCGCAACGCGATTCTGACTATTGCATTGCGATTTCCCAAATTCGCGTTGCGATTTTCATAATTCGCAATGCGAATACCGTAATCGCACGTAATCGCATTGCGATTTTCCTAATTCGCACTTCAATTTACGTAATCGCATTGCGATTTTCCTAATTCGCAACGAGATTCTGACTATCGCAATACTGAATTTCAAATTCGCAACTCGATTTCTGAATTCGCAACAGGTTTTAATTTCGCAACACAAATGTTTTGGGTATATAAATACGCAGCAATAGCAACTCATAACTTAAATCCCTAAATCGCAACTCATTCCATCTCCATCTATCACTCTCTCCGGCGACATCCGTTCCTATATCCAACGACATCCTTCCCCATCCGGCAACAGGTTTTAGTTTCGTAGCTCGTTTGTTTAGTAAATTAATTTACAATAATGAAATCATCTAATGTTGATCATGTTTGGATAGATTTGTGTTTTGGAGGGTCATGGGAGAATGTTCATGGTGTTTTACAATATATGCCTTTACCCATGAATCTTCAACTAAAACTGTCATTAAAAAAGTTAACTTATGAAACTCTAATGTTACGTGTTGCAAATAAATTGAATTTAGAGCCCCTAAGTGGATTTAGGCTATCTTATCAGAGAAATGGTAAAGTTTATTTGTTAACAGACAATGAAGATGTTGAACGATTCATTGCTTACATTAGTGTTTCAAGTGATGATGTTACATTGTATGTTGTTGAACCTAGAAGTAGTGAAGTTGGGTCAGTAGCGGGTAGTAATCAACTAAGTTTTTCAACACCAGTTTATGGTGCTCAAAATTTAATGGTTCCACCACAATTTCATCACCAAGCAAATATTGTTTCACCACATTTCCAATACCAAACACAATCTCAAAACCCACAACCTTTCCCTAATCCAAATCTCAATCAACTTTCAGCACCAAATTCCGGTTTTCGTATTGACCAGTTAGATGATGATGAGCCAACAAAAAAAATTGTGAGTACTAGTCAGTATTCGAAATTTGATCTTGGTCAATACCCGGACTTTGATCTTGGTCAATATTCGGATTTTGATATTTTTCAGAAGAAGAAACAGACCCTGCGTGTAATGATTTTGATATTGGTCAATACCCGAATTTTGATGATGAAACAGCCGTTGCCGAGGAAGATGTTGTTGATGATAATGAGGAGGAAGTTACGACTGTAAATGAATATGTTGAACATCCATTATGTAATTCATATAAAGTGTTTAAGACGTATTTTGCCTCAGTGTGCTCAAACACTAGAAGATGTCGGGTTTGAAAGATGGTCAAGAGTACATCAACTTGGAGCAAGATATGGTTTCATGACGTCTAATAGTGCAGAATCAATCAACGCTCTAAGTCGTCATTCCCGGAAATTACCCATTACTATGTTAATGGAGTTTTTTCGAGCCTCTATTCAACAGTGGTACTACAAGAAAAGAAACCATGCAGGTATTATTTCTTTAAATTCGTAACTTATCATATATTTTACTAAGTATTATTTATTTAAATTTACATGAACATTGGAACATCGTGTTACACCATGGACAGAAAAAAAGATAACGAAACGTGTTGTGAAGTCAACGTCATGGAGAGTTGAACCATGTTCAAACACTTTGTTTGAAGTACTG